CCCCCCCCCCCCCCTGCAAAGCCCTGCCCACCGGTCAAGTACGAAAATGTCACTTCCCTACCCGGGAGCCAATGCCGGGTCACCAAAATGGAAGAGACCCGGGCCGGGATTACCGGCGAATCAAATAGAATAGAATAGAATAGCCATCCATCCATCGACACCATGCCTAACCCTTCTAGGGTAGGGTAGGTGCCTGAGTCCGAGCTTTTAGCTCATAAGACTGTCATTCCCATTTGCCCCCTTGTGGCGGGGATGGCAGACCAGAGAGGCCTAGCTTGTGGCTAGGTCTGGGGACAGTTGGTCCCAAAGATGAGCCTCCTCCCATGGGAGACTTTGGTCTCAGACACTCCCTAAAGAGGGAGCCAAGGCCCGGCCACCACTTGTAAAAGGCCCGGGCTGGGAGAATACCGGCGAATCTTTAATAATAATAATAATAGACTGCCATCAAAGAGAAGGCCTGAGCTTGCTACCACCTGCAGCTCATAAGACGAGCCCCTTTGGGGCGGGGCGGATGGCAGACCAGGGGCCTAGCTTCTCCCTACGAGCCCCGTTAGGGCGGGGACTGTGGCTAGGCCTGGGGACAGTTGGTCCCAATGATGAATAGGAAACTTAAAACCTCCTCCCATGGGAGACTTAGGTCTCGAGACACTCCCCAGATAGGGAGCCAAGGCCGGGTCACCACTACTTGGAAAAGACCCGGGCCGGGAGAGTTCCGCCGAATAAAAAAAAAAAAAAAAAAACGTCAGAAGCAATAAACGTAATAATAATTATTATTTTTTACAGATCGTACATGTTCCAGTCACAGTTGAGAGATATGTGAACATAAGCAAAGGTGCAATAATAGTTTCTTTTTGCATTATATTTTCATTTTTGATGTCTAGTGTTAAAATACCTGTAAAGTTTTTTTGAATCATGTACACAATACTGATGTAGGTACTGACACACAGATGATTCATCTTGTAAACAGATGATGTAAACTTATTGTGCCGACAAATACAAATACAGTACTGTAAAGGGTATTATTCTCTTCCTTATGATTTTCTAAATAACATTTTTTTTCTTTAGCTTTGTTTATTGTATATAATGCATATAACATATATAATATGTGTTAATCGACTGTTTAGTTCTCAGTAAGACTTCATTGGATTTTGAGGAGTCAAAAGTTATACGCGGATTTTCAATTTGCGGGGTTCAGTGCCCTTAACCCCCGCGATGTTCAAGGTCAACAGCCCATATAACGCATGCCTCCCGACTAGCAAACCCCAGGTGCTAAGATTTAACGAGAAGAAGTCCTATCGTTATAACCAGTGCCTCGGTTCAACTCGCTAATCACAAAGAAGCAATGCTAAAGTTGTGACGCGATGTGGATGCTTTCAAGCAGCTTTGGCAGACTTACCTTCCCAGTTGTTTTGCTACGGTGTCTTTTGCTCTCATTCGTCTCATCCACTCAAGGGAGGTTCCTTGATGCTTGTGAGGGGCTCTTGATCTAGGGGAAATTGGTTATGTGCTCCTGTTCCCCCGAAATGAGCCTGACTACCTTCCCACCCCCCCCCCCCTCATATACGCTGTATAATCCTATTGGTTTAGCACCCCCCCATAATAATAATAATAATAATAATATCATTTGCATTTAATATCATACTTATAAATACCTTTCATAGGCTATATACACTGTAAATACCAGCTTATTTTTGGTGAAGGAAATACAGTCATTTATTCTCTCTCTGCCTTTTAGCTCGTTCTTTATTGGTCACGTGTTTAGGCCATATCTACACCTTTGTGTGTAATATGGAGCCTGTCCGGTTTTTGTCGCTGCTTTGTCGTACGAGTCTCCCTTCACTACCTGCGTTTGCAGCCTGCAAGTCTTTCTGTGTATTGCTTGTGTTGTACTGAGTTGTAATGCAATCACCCATTTTGTATGGGCTATATCAGCACAACGTTTTTAGGCGATGGTAACAATATCCGTCAAAACTTACCCACACTATTTC